AGTACTTGTGCTCGTGGTCGAACTTGAGGTAGTACTTGTTGTTGAGGTTGAAGTTGTGGAAGTACTTGTGCCCGTGGTCGAACTTGAGGTAGTACTTGTTGTTGAGGTCGAACTTGAGGTAGTACTTGTTGATGTGGTTGAAGTTGTAGAAGTACTTGATGTTGTACTTGAAGTTGTGGAAGTACTTGTGCCCGTGGTCGAACTTGAAGTAGTACTTGTTGTTGAGGTTGAAGTTGTGGAAGTACTAGTCCCCGCGGTCGAACTTGAGGTAGTACTTGTTGTTGAGGTTGAAGTTGTAGAGGTACTTCTTGATGTGGTTGAAGTCGTTGAAGTTGTGGAGGTACTTGTTGATGTAGTTGAAGTTGTAGAAGTACTTGTTGTCGTCGTTGAAGTTATAGTAATATTTAGTGGCATCGAAGAGGATATATTATCGGACAGAGAGTCGTTTGAATTGTTAGTAGAAAGTTTTTGTAGAAAAATTGGAGCAACAATTGTAAGTGACACGGTAGCAGTTATGAGAATAATTGTGGCGACCGAAATAATGAAACTTTTGGCGGACACACTCACTCCTGCTGTACCTAGTTGTATTATCGAATGATTCAACGTGTTTAAAATTGAGTTGCAATGGTGGGTTGCATCGAGTTGTATTTTCGCATGATTCAAGTCTTTTAAAACTTGGGGGTGATTGTGAATTGGAGGGATGGGCACAACTAACTAAATAAAAATTAATTTATAATATTTATATCGAAATATGAAATGAAAGAAGATATGACCGATCATAATCCATCATTAGATTCATTCTTTCCGGTTCGTAGAAACATGAAGAAAAGAAAAATATTCTTTATCGACGTTGTTACCCTGTTATTATTTTATAGAGCGGTTCACACAATGCATCAATAATTTCGTTTCATTAAGACTTATTTCAGAGATTTTACCTGTACATTGGCCATTTCACAAAAATCCCAATGAATGATGGGTGCTGTGGGATCACTCTCTGATGGCAAATCACAATCTTCAAGCTTCACATCGAATAAAGATTGCTTCGGATCAAAATAAATATTAATAATTCGAAATGTGCTTAACGGCATAAGAAGTACTTCTTCTTCGGCTGGAATTATCGACATATTGGCGATGCTGATTGCGCGCGTCTCAGTACGATTGATTTTGTAGGTGCATCGAACCGAGTACTCCTTAGAATTGTTGGAGGAGTTCATTTTTCGAAATTGTTTACATTCTCCTACACCTGCATATATATTGGCAACACGGATTGTTTTCGATGTTGAAACAAATGGTCGATTGACGACGAGTTCACCTTTCTTGTACATTTGAAGAGCATCTAAGGTCATTTTTAATCCTCGATAAACACGACCAGTATAAGCGTAGTTTGGTCGAAGCATCGGATCATAATTAAATGAAGCAATTAAATAGAAAATACTGGTTGCCAACGTATTACCAGACGTGCTGTAAGCTTGCAACAAGTCAGGAAGAACTTCAATGCAATGCTGATTTACAACTTTGTCAAATTGTTTCGTCGCTGTATATGCCGTAATCACTGGAATCAAACTCTCATATGTGCGTGCATTGGTAAAATGCCTAAACAGTTTTATGTCAGTTAATAAAAATTATGAAGATATTAGTTCTAAGTCATAGATTATTCTCAGCACTATTACTAAAAATTTTTTCCTAAACAGCAAATCACTGCATTCTTCTGTATAGGATTTCAGATAGAGGACTGATGATATTCTATAATACCAAATCATCAATTTAACAGAGATTCTCCAAATTAGTAAATGAGTCTTCTGCTATTAATTTATTTTTGAGGTGAATGATATGGGTGTTACTTTGAGTAGGGATGTGGATGTGAATTATAGATGGATTTGACATTCACTCACATCCTAAAGTGGATCAATCTCCTACAGAAGCCTCTCTTGGGTGTCTTTGCCGTTTTAGAAAATAGACAATCATATAATTTCAAATCATTATATTACTTACTGCTCAATTTCTTGCACAGAAGTTGATAATGCTTCGGAGACATATCGACGAGCATAGTAAATATGTAAATAATCAAGTATAAATGGCAAACCCAAAATACCAAACGAACTTTCTAAGGCAGAATCAAATCTCTGCTTCATTTCGCGTTTCGGTGGATCTGAAAATGTAAAATCAATACAAGATGCTTGACCAATGCTCCGGGAAGGTTCCTTAATACAAAGAGAGGTTGTATCTTCAAACGGAGTGAGACCGCGCCTGTTTTTTATAAATTCTAAGGCACCAAATTTCAACAAAAGGTAGACAGCACCCGCATTGTGATGATAACAGGCTACATGTAGTGCGGTATCTCCATTTGGTTCGATTCGATTAATTTCATTTGGACTCATATTTGCCAAATGAGATATAATTCGAGGAATATCATTGGCTGCACATGCATTATAAAAGTCACTTGCTTCTGTTATTTCCAGTTGTATTTGTTGTTCATTCGATGTTGTCATGTTGTTTATATCTAACAATGAATTTGAAACTCAGTGAATGTGTTTTGGTTATCGTGAATTATTCACTCAATACGCAAATTATTCTCTTTTCAAACAGCTAAGACTTAAAAAAATCCATAAAAATGCTGTCTCAACGGTATGCAATCATTAAGATAGCATTTTACGATTTTCTACTGCGTTTTATTGCGTTGAGTCTTTATATAACTACGCATTACTCTGTGATATTTTTCGTGTTCAATTTTGATCTTTCACTCGTCGACGTTTAGTAAAATTGAGCACTAATAACGAGTTTGTTAGGGTGGATTGTTAAAATATTCATGAGTTCAATATGGTGTGCTTATATAAACAAACTAGGTGTGAAAATAATGCAGAAGGGATGTACTAATTCCAATTCTTTACTTATAATTAACTAGAATGGATTGGAATTTGTCTTTAAATCGTGTTAAAGGAGTTAAAAAAGTGAACATGAAACGAGCAAACTCGAAATTCTGGACTTACTATCTCATGTAGCCGACTATAGAGGTAGTAGGGGTGTTACTTAATGTTTATCTTTCTTTAAATAAAGATAAAGATATTAACAAAATACTTCTCTGTATAAAATAAATGTAAAGAAAAAATGATCGTATGAAATAAACTAATGTTAGCGTAAGCCGAAGTGCACTTCATAATTCACATTTAACCATCTTTCTGTTATAAAAACTATCGATGGGTACCAATAATAACTTTCCAAGGGCTACCCAAAGACACTCTTAATAACAGCTATATAGCGCATCTTGCGATGCAACTTTGCGTTTAAGACGGAATGTTTCTTAATAAGTAGACTATATTAAGAATTGATTACTCCAGAAGGATTTCTGCTCGTCTGCTATTCTTCTGGATTTTTTAGTCAATAATACATTGTAAAAAATGTGTAGAATAAGAGATCCGTAAATGATTTATTCTACGTTGCACTCTCATAAACCCTTTTATATAACTATCTGGAGGATTCCGAAGATCACCTATATTGTAAACGAGTATATCAAATCTATTTTATACCTAAAACGAGTTCACTTAGTAAAAGAAAGACGCCTATACCCTTTTATTGAAACCTTTTTCTGTATGCTAATTAAACAATAAAGAGAATCTCTTTTATAAATCTCAACCGAATATGAAAAGTAAGAAATTATCAATATATCTTAATTAAAGGTAATAGAATAAGAATCTATTTCTATTTCTGAAATGTGCGACAAAACAAGAATGTTTTTGACACTTCAGCCACAAAAGATTATAATCATTATCTCAATCTAGACTATGTAAAAAAAAACAAGAATCATATTTTTTAAATCGCGACTAAACGACAAAATAAGATCATTCTCTACTAGAAAACATGTATTCCGTCTCATAAAATTGATAAAGCCTACGCTTATTTTAAGTTGCTAGAATGGCAAAAAAAGGATAGAAGTGTTATTCTGATTGAGAGAGAACAAACAGACAATTACCTATATAATGGTACACGAAAATTTGACAGTTATACTATTTACTGCTTAGTTATGTAGGACAAAGCGGCTAATTCTATCAGAGATAAAAGCGAAAAAAAACTTTTATACCAAAGCGTTTTAGATCGCAGTCGGAGTGTGTCATATGTTACACGAATTAGTTTACTGTTATTAAAGTTAAA